GTTGGAAGCACAAAAATTGATCTTTATTGAATGATAATCAATGAAGTTTCATTAAAGTATTCCCATAGAAATAAGAACTAGACCAGATATCACTAGATATGATAAATGCAACAAAAACAATCCATAGAATAAATAAAGGGTTCAGTTTGGAATTCTGTCAATTACCTACATCATCATACACCTAATGAAGTCTGGAGGGCACAACATCCAAAACATAGTGATAATAAAAATGAGGACAATAGCCCACATGTAAATAATAACTCTTCATCTCAGAAATAATGCTAGATTTTCTGGATTATTTCTCAAGAAATATAAAACTTATTCTCTATTATTGAATATAGATGCTGCTAATATTTTGTTTATTTTTGTTATGTCATATAGACAAATATAAGCTAAACATTATTTTGCTATAAACAATTCAAGTATTAAAATAAGTTAACCTTTAGCACTCTGCATTATTAATATTACTTCCCTTTCCACTGTATTCTTTTTTAAGACTTCTCAATTGCAGTCTCCTTATTGTTAATTTTACTCAAAGGTGTTTTCTGTTGACATAGAAGGATATGACAACACAACTATGAAATTCAAACACTATGTTCAAGGATCAAAGTCACTTTCAGTGGCAAGGATAAACATTTTGTACAGCAAATGAAGTCACAGAGTGATAATGGTTAAATCCGATGATTAGACAATCTGTGAGCCAATAATAAAAAAAAACAAAAAAAACTTGTTAATGATGTCGGAAATTAGTCAATGTAAACACATCTTCATAATTGTGTCTGTAAAGTTTCTGATAAGTGAAAAAAATGTAAAGTGACAAAATATTTAATAAAATCAATTTTAGCAATAACAGTTAAATAATTTTAGTAAATCCTTGCAGTCATAATGGCAAACATCACTGTGGATGATTGTAGTTCAAAATCTCTTGAACTACCTGGTGGTTTCATGGAGTTCATGTAAAGTTAGGCCATTATTGAGCCTGTTAATATTAGGCAAATAAATTTGACTGTTTCAAAATTAAATTGCAGAACATCTCAACTGCAAGAAGCACAAATTCATATCTGTCAGATAGGAAATGGCAATTAATTAGTTTATACTCCTCAGCATGTCTGGTGATAAAACTGGCAAAGTATTCAATGTAATTAGCTTGCCATTTGTAAAACAACAATAAGATATTTTTCACTTGATAACAAATGTATTCATTAAAAAGAATTTAGTGCTTGCACAAAATTATCATTAATCAGCGAGATGAAAATACTTTGAAGAAAAAACAATCCTAATGCTGCTGATTTCCTGTTGACAATTCCTTTTGTAGAAATTGTTAATTTTTCATTTTTTTTTTTTATTGCTGTGAATTTTCCCCACCTCACCAACAAAATGAGTACAAACAAATATTGTAAGATTAAATAAAAAATGATAAATTTCGCTAGTTTTTGTCAGCTATATAAATCACAATAGGTTAATGGATGCAGCAAGTGCAATCAACTTGTACTGGTAAATTTTAATGTTAATGACCTTAACCTTAGAACACTAACCATCAATTAAAGTTATACCACTACTAACCATGGGTAAATCATACCAGATTTTGAAAATATCAAAAAAAAAAAAAAAAAAATCTTTATTTGAAATATTTTACATGCAGGCACTTCAAACTTTGTACTTAACATTAATAGGAACTGAAAAACATTATTTAGGCAAGAAAATCACGTACTAAAAATTGTAATTAAAAATAGGAAAAATTTTCGGTGGGTACTATATACCCATGGTTAGTGTTCTAGGGTTAAGAGAAATTGGAAGGTGTCAGTATAAAATCAAAGACTGAGACAATGAAAAGAAGTATGGAGAAAAAATGGGTTGGGGGCATTTGACAAATTCTGAAGAAAAGAGGAAAGAAGAGTATGACAGATTTTTAAGAAGAGGAAACAGTAATAAAATTTTCAATTTTTACAAATAATCATCATCAGAAAATGACAACTAGAGATTGAAACTTATTTGAACGTCTATACAATATGTAATCAATTGATTTCCTCTTTAATTCGACCTATGCAAGTATCAGTGTTGGCACAAACAGGAGCTGTGAGGCCAGAAAGAATATCAAGTAGGAATTATGTCTCAAGTTCTAATGAAGAAATATTAAGACTAGTATCTTTATCTTTTTATTTTTACATTAGCCAATTTTTTCAGATCTGTAGAAATCAATGATAAGAGTGACAGATTTGTGCTGCTTGAATTTCTTTTTACTTTCAAAAGACAATGCTAATTAAATACAATATACACCCTTAAGAAAAGTTAAAGAATGTTCCAGTCACAAGATAACGGTCAAAACAACAGATGAGGAAACAAGTCTGAATAATTCATGAAATAAATAGCATTCACCATAAAGGACATCTTGAGTGTAATGGTTGGCTCATATGTAAGAGAGCCTATCAAACTTTTAATTTATTCATAACTTTTCTTATGGCAACACACAGAAAAAATATTCTTATTTCTTTTTTATTCAATGAATAAAAAAAAAAAAAAAAAAAATATTTAAATTATTAAATAAGCAAAAACAGCAAAAACATTTCTGATCAGAAATGTTTTTGCTTATTTAATGCTAACAAAATAAATTCAAGATAAAATAAATAAATAAAACAATGCTGGTAGATGGCATATCGCTTTTATGATAATTATATTATTCATGTTATTGTTATTATTAAATAGCTAAGAAAGAGTGTCATTGGATTGTTCCATGCAGAAAAAATTTGCACCCACTGACATTCATTAACGCTTGCTAAACGTTAAGACCAAACAATGGATGTGATCACAGGCTATGATTATTAATGCGTCTCAGCAATGGCTACACACACAGTGATATGTATAACAAGCCACGTTCCAGACGGCCTTGTACGGTTGTCAACCTACGTAATGAAGAGTGGCAGTGACTACGTAGAAAAATAATGTTTTGTTACTGAAAATTTGCTCTATCCAACATTCTTATTGTGCTCCCTATATAATTGCAGTTTCCGTGGAAATAAATAGGAGGCATCACTTTCGGGGCGTTGTGCGCGTGCGCGAGCTTGTATATGTGAGTGACAGAACATGCTGTTATTATTGCAAAAACGACTTAAAATTATTTTTAATTTTTTACATATTCAATTTTAATAATAATGTAATAACAGCAGTCTATAGCCTAAAACTAACAATTGGTTCGTTAAATAAGGTCTTTTTATTCACTTCTAGGTTTACCAATTCTTATCCAACAATAAGGGGGTATTGTTAAAAACGAAAAATGATTGTCTACTACTCAACTGTGACAGTGTCTCAACCAATTTTCTTAGGATTTGTATTATTTAAGAAAAACTAACTTTATTTCTTTTGAAATAAAATTAAAAAAAATCAGATTATGTATCGTGGGTTGTCATCATTACATTATTTCTTTAAAATAAAATTCACCACAAATGTTAAAAAATCGTGAAATGAAAAGAACACTCCTTTTGAATTTGAATATACTTGAATTTTATAAAGAAAGTCAAATTGATGAAAAATGAACCAAAGTTTATACTCCGAAAGAGTTAGTGTACAAGATTAGTATACAAACTAAATAAAAAAAATTATCTATTTATAATTTTCAATACAAATTAAAAAAAGTATAGTACGCCACCTAAAAAAAAGGGAAATCAAACCTAACGTTTCTTGCAGTGACTTCGAATAATAAAAAAAAAAAAAAGGTTTAGAACCTAACTTTAGATAGGTTCTGAAAACGAAATTTTTTTGCACCCAATTCTCTTTAAAGTCATTTAAATTAAAAAAAAAAAAAAAAGAATAAACAATATAATTTGGTCTTTGTTTTACAAATTTGAGAAGAATATCTTCTATAAACAACTTTTTTATTTTTTTATTTTACTTTGTTGACAAAAAAACGTCCCCCGGAAAAAAATGTGCATAGCTTTCCTTTACGGTAGTCGGTTGGTGTTTTCCTAGCTTGATATTTCTTACAAATATGCAAATTCAATTGGTCAATTCATTTGCATGAATAAAAAAAAATCATTTTGTCAATAGATTAGTGTTCAAAACGTTTGAACGAATTGAAAAGATATTAATTTTATTTTGAAAATCAAACGAGAACATCTCCACGTGTTTTCCTCCCTGATGGCGGCGGTGGCGGTTGGCACATTTTCTAAAAGTTTAACCTCCGGGTTGACTAAGATATTGCACAAGAAGAAATATATTGCCAGAAATAAGATAGACATTTATAGAAAAACTAATTTGATTAGGCTCAATGTCGAGAATTTGTTAAACAATTGATTTTATTATAAATTTAAAAATGAAGGTGACAGAGAAGATTGTTGTTTTTTGGGTTTTTTTTTTTTCAAGATTAAAAAAAGGACTCCAGTTTGTACTAACTAAAATGTCTCCATTTCTTGTTTAAAAATTAAAGCAAAATCACAAATATTTGTAAATATAACCACTAAACCACCTTCTCTCAGCCCCTCCTATTTTTGACAGCAATTATAATTTCTGTAAAAGAGTAATGGAGTTGGGGGGGGTATTTATTTTATTTAATTAATTCTCCAATCCATTAAAAATTTTCTGGACAATGTTCCTTAAGCCGATATATTAAACTTTATAGTTTTTACTTTAAGACGGACACAATTTGATAGAATCCAGATTTATTTATAAAATCTCATTCGGAATAAAGATGTTCTCTAGTCTTGGATGATGACATGACATGAAACAACATTGTCTCCACTTCAAAGTTTAACTAAATGTGGACAAGAGAGAAAAAAAAAATCAATAATCTTGCTCTATGACAAAATATATGTTGTAATTATTAGTCAAGTGAGCTCTCAACTCTACAGGTCTGATAATTAATTAGACGTATCTGCAATAGTGTCTCTTACATTTCGTATTGTCATCAGGCTGGCTCTTTATTTTCTTCTGGCAATCCACATTAAAACATTTACCGTTCCTGATTGATTAAACTAAAGTAATAATGAAAAGAAATGAAATATGCAAACCTTTGCAGGCGCTTATGAGGTAATATCCATACTGTGTGATATCACTAAAGGCCAGAAAAACCACTGGCCGAGTGTGACCAGAACAAGTGAGCGGGGTCTGCCTCAAGTTGGACATCTTCACCATATGTAAAAATTGTGCGCGCGTGTTCCGACTTTCTTTTCTATTTTTTTTTTTTTTTTTCTTTTTTTCTTCCCAAGATCGGGTTGCTGCGCGTGTATATAGCTGGAGTGGTGGGCTGTTGTGAGAATTTATGGTATGGGTATGCAGAAGTGTGCGTGTGTATATACGTAACGGCACTGCACAAAAGTTGGTAAGCCTGTGAGTGTTGTTACAAAATGCACACTTCGCTAATGTTGGTCTTGGGAGATGAGACGGGCAGTACCGCTGGTTTCACTTCCGGTTTGCTCCGCACTAAATATTCTATTCGGACGATTTTTTTTTTTAATAAAGCTGATAATGACGCTTTTAAAACACTTAATTACAGAATAATAATCTTAAATTTATACTACTAATTTAATGTTAATTTGTCTTTCCCTTCATTTTTACATTCCACAAAATTATATTTATTTCGAATTTAAGCATTTCATTCACTCCACGAAGAATAAAGAATGGAACGTTATTGATCGAAGAAAATGAGACAGATGTTTGATTAAACTTTTTAACCTCAATAATTATTTGTAATGACTTCATAATTATTGCTCAATTACTATTATTTTATTCTGTAATTAAAATAAAACACATTTTTATAATTTTGTGTTATTTTTTAAATTTTAATCAAAGGGAATTTAAAAGTATATTTTTATTGATTGAGAAAGATTTGCGCTCAAATTTTTAATTTACTCACATTTAAAAAAATTATCTTTTAAATTGTGAATACTGCTAGTACTTTCTTTTGTAAAATGATTTTAACTTTTTTTCCTAACGATACAGATTGATTTTTTTTTTCTTATTTATTGTATCGAATAGGCTATTAGTTTTTCGTATTGCTTTTTAGTTTACTTTACTTTTACTGACATTTATTTTCAAATCAATGAAATATTTCCAAACATTCACTTTTTTACCCTTGTCTTTTCAGTCTGTGGGACATATGAGATAAGAAGAGCAATCACTGTGATTATATCAAATCATGCATGAATGATATCAATCATGATTCATGAATGAAAAGAAATGAAGCTACCCCACCTAATGAGACACCAGTGATAGAAGCAATCACTATTTTATTCATCATGAGTTGTAACTAAGCATTTAAACAATGCCCATTTCTTTTTTTCTTGCAGTTTTTTCCTTACCCTAGTACAGGGTAGTCACCATATACACATTTTAAAATATCTCTTACTGTTTCTGGTGTCACATTTCTATTGCATATATAACAATGTTTTTCATCGTTGATTTATGCCTTATTTCTTTATAAGGTCTTTCAGCTTTGGATTAATTACACCACCTATTTCTTATTCTTTCAGCAATCTTGCTTAATATTGGATTTGTAGAGTTTCGGATACCAATATTTGTAGTGATAATATGTCAGTTTCAACCCAGTGTAATATTTCTTCATTTGGAATTTCCGTTTTTTCATTTTGATCCTTATTAAATTGTAACCTTGACAACACATCAACATGTGGTATTGTATTTCCTTTTACATACTTCATGTAAAAATCATAAGCCATCAATTGTATGGACCACCTTAGAATCCTGGAAGAAGTAACTTTTGGTAGCTCCTAGGATTAAAAATAAACTAGAGGTTTATGCTCCAACTGTAATAGGAAATTCTTTCCTCATAAGAATTGTCAAGTTCTGTCTGTACTCCAGACAATGGCCAATGCCACTTTTTCAGTATTTGAATAATTTATTTCTGCTGCTGTTAATCTTGAAAGGTATATTATTGGATGGCCTTCTTGCAATTCACATCCCTAGTTCACATAACCTCCTTTCTGGGATCAAAGATTTTTACAAAGGTTTTTTCTGCAAGAATCTCTTTTAAATCCTTGAATGCTAAGCATTTCATTTGAACTCACTATTCTTTTTCCACAGTTCAAGCAAATAGTTTTCTTAAGTCACTGTATTTTGGTAGGTATCTAATATAAAAATTAACCAATCCTAAAAAGGATTCTAATTCTCTCTCTGTTTATTATTATCCCCATATTTTTTAACTTGTTTAACACATGTTTTTTGTCTTAATGCATATTTACTGGTAGCAAATAATGCCTATTTACTGGTAGAAAATATCATCTTGATAAATAATCATATTATTAATTTCATCAGTTAACACATTTTCCATTCCTCTCTGAAATATGGCACTTGTTGTTTTTACTCCAAAAGTAAATTATATTCATCTTTATAATCCTATGGAGGTGTTTATTGTGGTAATTTCCTTGAATTTATTGTCAACTAGCATTGCCCGGGGATATAACAGTAAGAGATAGATCAAGTATCCACCATCATAAAGACTGAAAAATAAAATTGACAAAGATTATTGTTTAAGGTTGACGGACACGTATGTCTTAATTAGTTTTTTTTTTTTTTTACGAATTGTTCAAACACAAACAAAAACATTGTTTTCAATCGTTATGAGTCTCTACCAATTGAATAGAATTTTATTATAAACAATTGTCTTGTAAATAGAATTTTTAAAGCATTCTGAATGTAAAAATAAAGAAAAAAGTGTGCAACACAATAAGAAACACAGAAAAAAGTGAAGTTTTGTTGAAATCGGTTGAAAAATGTAGGTAGCCTTTCTGTAATCTTTTAGTTTTACAATTTATGATTTTTACTTATTGAATACAGTAAAAAAATTGCATATTTTGCTTGTGGTGATTCATAATTAGAATTCTGATTTGAATATATTTTCCACTCGTTGTTTCTAATACAAAAAATATTAACTTTTATTTGGGTTTATTAATTATGATCTAACAAATCTTATTCATTTAGTAGCCTTTCTGTAATAATAATCTTTTTACAATTTATGATTTTTACTTATTGAATACAGTAAAAAAATTGGACACCATGTGTATTTAAAGTAGTTTCCGGTTATTATTTTAGTTAGGACTTGTGTATGTTTAGATTTCATTATCTTTCCCTAAAGATAAAGAATTTATCTGATGTTTGTATTCGCATAATCAGTAGAGATCGTTAGATTATTGTTTAAGGTTGACGGACACGCATGTCTTAATTTTTTTTTTTTTTTTTTACGAATTGGTCAAACCTAAACTCAAACAAAAACATTGTTTTCAATCGTTATGAGTCTCCCGATTGAATAGAATTTTATTATAAATAATTGTCTTGTAAATGGAATTTTAAAGCATTCTGAATATTAAAAATAAAGAAAAAAGTGTGCAAGAGAATAAGAAACACTACCTGCCAAAAAAAAGAAAGTGAATTTTTGTTTTATCAGCTGAAAAATATAGGAAATCTGATCCCATATTTAAAAGAATCCACACACACAAACAATCCGATGTGAGTTGTCCCCCTTCCATTTTCCCGATGTCTCTTAATCGTGTTTTCAAATTGATTTTGTGCAAAAACAATTATATTTTTCCCATTTTTGGCGCTGTTAGAACCACCACAATGTAATTTTATGTAGTCCTGTGAAGTTTTGTTGAAATCGGTTGAAAAATGTAGGAAATCTGATCCAATATATAAACGTTGCAGACACACACACACAATCTGCGTTTTATAATAAGTGAGATCTGTATTTGATTGTAGGCTGATTTTAAATCAATTTTTGCAAAACATTTCATGCACAATAATTTGTGGATATCAGTTTCAATATTGGGAATAGAAAACAAATCTGAGCATATTTTATGATTTACGCCTATTTTAAAATCATCTCATATTCTTAAATCCCCATCTGCTTTTCACATGACTACAATAGGATAGGCCCATGTACTGCCATCTGGAGGAACATGCTACAAAATTCCCTCTGCTACCATTTTCTTTAACTTAGCAACTACCAAAGGTAATTCAAAAAAGAAGGGAAACTATTTTTATTTAATTGCATACCCGCTTTATACCACTTTAATACTCCTGTTTTTACGTTTTTCTGATTTTATGTTACTGATTAATTTTGATGTATCCACCTTTAGCACATCTATACCTTGTAGCCCATGATATTCTTTTAAATTCCACTACTGCAATGGGAATAATTTTAAATCAGTCAAAAGATTCAAACGTTCCATTGAAGTATCCCAAATTTTTTATAAAAGATCCATTAAATTGTCTCAATTCAGATGACTTTTTCTCAATTTCAGTTTACTTAATATCACTATAAGAAGAGCCTGACAAAATCTTAATGAGTCAGGTAACTTTTGTGTTTTGGTCCAGAAATAATATTGCTACTTTGAATGATGGTTACAAGGGAAAAGTAAAACATTACTGAGATGACATTCACAAACACTTACACACACACTTTCTTTGTAAATAAAAATTTAATTAATTTTTAATAACTTCTCATAACTACTTTGACTGGAACTTTTACCCCAGCTTCTATTTGGACTAACTAATTGATCAGATGTCCTTTTATTTATAACTGGCACACAGACATAGTAGCAACACTAAATGCCCATGAATATTTAACAGAAAATTGCTCAGCCCCATTTGAATATAGTAATTTTTTAAGCTTAACTCAGATGTGGCACAAGTCCAAAAGTGTGGAGCACTCAGTGAGGATCAAACTCACTACTCAGTCATAATTGTCCTAGCAAGAAAAGCTTGATAACCATTAGGTCATGCCAAGGTGCCCAACTCTATTTGAATATGTGTTACATGAAGGGAATAAAATTTCTAATAATTTAATACTTAAATACATGCTTAAAGGATTATAATTTGATAGATGTTTTAAATGTAATTTTTATCTTTCTCTGTAAATTATTAGTTAATTAAATTTTATTTATGGTGTTTTTGTTTATGTAATGATATATTTATATATATATATATATATTTTGGGGGAAGCTTCTAAAATGTGTAGGTAATATTTATATACATACATTATATACATTTCAAAGGTTGTCATAGTCATGAGTAATAGTGGAGAGAAGCAGCCACTGTCTATAAAATGCTTCCTCATCATGTATCTTCCCTGGCATGTCCAGTTCCAAGAGAGAAACAGGACAAAGGTGAAC